GAGTTGATGGCTCGCGGTTCACCCGCGAGCCAAATAGCAAAGTTCTTACGCATACTCTCACTCAGAAATAAAGCTGTTGTTGCCATTTCTTATTCATGTGACTAAAAGCTCAGAATCCAACCCCCCAACGAAAAGTTTTGAGTGATGATGAGTATAATCAAAACATGTTCTTTTGCGCATCAGTACCTATTGAGTGGTAAAATTAACTATTTGAGTTTACTATTTGCAAATATTTGTTTGATTGCAAATATATACATACTTAGTTCTTACACTTCACAACAAATATTTTATTTGTTAGAAGTGACAACTTGTAACGTAAAATAAGCTGGCCAATTTGATGAACTGCGATCAGATCTTACCTATTACTGTTTAACTTACTGAATTTAGATCTCCTCTACATGTTTCTTCGATGGATCTCCGGAAGGCACAATCACAACAGGTAAAAAATATCATGAAATACCATGAACCTTTTTCGTATAAAAATATAAATAAGTAGAATATGTTGAAACTGTGATGTTAACTATCTTAGAAATAACAGTAAGGGGCTGTTTGGTTGTATGTTTTTATCATGTAAAAGGATAGAAAGTGTAAAAAAGTGGGTCCCAATGTCAGCTTTCATCACTTTACATTGTTTGTTTATATTCTATTTGACATGAAAAGCTTACACCTTTTGATGAGGTGTCACCGAAAGCAAAATCACCAAAATTAGGAGTGATTTTGTTGGAAAACTTGCACAATGTCATAAATGTGTCCAAAAAAATAATAAAAAAGTCAAAACCTTGTAGAAAGTGGTGAGGTGGATAACCACTTTCCATTTGGCAAAATGGCCAGATTGGTATTTTTTTAGACGCTTGGTGACATGTTGGTATATTTTCTTTTAGTTTTGTCAGATTGGTATAAATTTTCAACTCCGACGCCATATAGGCCTTAAATTTGGCCGGAGTTACTGTTCCGGCCAGGGCTGATGGATTTTTTTGCAAAAAAACCCCTCATCAAATACAATTTTCTGCTTCTAACCCGCTCTCTCCCTCCTCATCCTCTTCAACCTCCCTCTCCTCCTCCTCCTCCTCTTCCTCCTCCTCCTCCTCATCCTCTTCAACCTCCCCCGCAAAGTCAGCTCCCGCGAAGTCAGCTCCTCGTCACCGGCGAAGACCATCAGTCCCTCGGTTAGCAAGAAATTATGAATTCGTTATTATATTCACGAAAAAAGCGTAAACTTCAAGTCCCACAATCCAAAAAATATGCTGTTGGCCTTCTTGTTTTGATGATGTTTAACAAACAATTTACCACTAATGTTGTTTGTCTAGTATTTGTGTTTTCGTATTTATTGTAGACAAACAACATACTTGGAGGATGGATGGAATAGAGCTTCAACGACGATATCCAATGGAGGTTGGCGGAATAGTGGAGTGAAGCCTTGAAATTCAAAGTTAAAGATCAAGTTCAAGCTTCATCCGCATGTGTACCAAGTTGAGCTACAATGAAGATCAAGATCAAGCTTGGGTAATCTAGTTTAGATTTTATATTATGTGTGTTAAGTACCTTAAGCTCAATATCATATACACACACGTATTTGGTTTCTATGTATATATATAGTTATATATATACATGCATGGTTTTGAGTTTCATGCTTTGGACACAGTTGCAAAATACATGAGTTTTCACAAATGGAAATTCAATTTGAGAAATTCTTTTTCTAACATGTTTGTTTTCATGTTTACAAATATTTCGCAAAGTTTCATCAAGTTTAGAATTGATTTGTTATGTTTAATGGAATTTACAAAATCATGTTTTCGTTCGTGCACATGTTCGTGCATGTTTTACAAAACAGATGAGTTTTCGCAAATGGGAAGTGATATTTGAAAACTTCTTTCTCTGACATGTTTACCTACATGTTTAGAAACTTCCCTCAAAATTTTACTATTTTTGGAGTTTATTTACTGTGCCTAATTGATTTTACAAAATCGTGTATCACAGCAGATTTTCAGAAACTGTATTTTTGTGTTCAAACATTTATTTCTCTCAACTGGGAAACGATTTTTCAGAAATTCTTTCTCTGACATGTTATTATACATGTCTAGAACATTCTCACAAAATTTCATAATTTTTGGAGTTCATTTACTATTTTAAATTGATTTTACAAAACAGCTGCGCACTGCTACAGTAATCCGGTCGACCGTACCGGTCGACCGAAGTACTGTAGCATCCGACCGTTGCTACAGTAACGGCTAGTTCTGTTTTTTGTTTATTTTAATGTTTTGGGGGTGTTTTTATTGGTTTTTGGGGTTGTTTCATGAGCCTATATATACCCCATGCCCTCATACCTCTAAGGCAACTCAAGAAATGTTTTAAACAAGTTTAAAGAGTTTTAAACAAGGGTTTAAGTGTGTTAGTGTTTGTTTTGGTTTATGAAGAAGTTTTCACAAGTGGAGGAGATCATCTTCTTGTTTGGGCTCCAATCTCCATCTCTCCATCTTGTCATCTATTGGAGAAGTTTTCTAAACTCTATCTAGCTTTACATTTGCTTAGTTATTTGATTATCATTCTTTAAAGCTAGTTTTTTATATTGAGTTTAGATTTGATTATATTATCTCATTGTTACACACACCCACTTGAGCTTATTGTATTTGCATTCATAATATATTAGGGTTGTGAGAGTTGTAACATTGAGTGTGGGCTTTTCTTCTCAAATAGCCGAAGTAAGTGATTTATTTGCTTAATCATTATATTTACATATGCTCATCTAAACTTAATAAGCAGCTTATTAAGTTTAGATGAAGTGAATTTTGTAATAAACATAACTGGGAGGGTCAAATAAGAGCTGCTTATACAGATGAAAGTTAACATGCTTACGTGAACATTAACATGCACACCTGAAAGTTAACATATACAGATGAAAGTTAACATATACAGCTGATAGTTAACATGTTCACGTGAACGTTAACATACACACCTGAAAGTTAACATATACAGATGAGAGTTAACATGCTCACGTGAACGTTAACATGCACACATGAAAGTTAACATATACAGATCAAAGTTAACATATACAGATGAGAGTTAATTTATATACAATCTTCACTTTATTATGCACATCAAGTTCTATTTGAATGAACTTGTACATATTCACATGACAGCCACAATACATTTCACATACAGTCGCAATAAATTACATCAAAACTGATCAATAAATAGACACAATACATTTCATAATTTTTGATCTAAGTACAACTAAATCATAAGAACACATTGTATAATCAATTGAACAATAAAAGATGACACGTTACAAGCAATTCTGGAGAAACTACACAAGTATAAAGAGTACACATAGTAAAACCAACTAAACAATGAACATATGCCTGCTGAATAGTCTTTTGCATTCCATTTGCTCCAGATCCATTGGTTCTGATTGTAGCAGCAGCAATCTTTACGCATGTTCCCCAACCAATGACCAACATTGTGTCATCCTATGTGCATACATCCTTGTTAGCATCTAATGCAGAAAATAAGCAATCTAATTAGAGAACAAGAATATACAACATCTTTAGGACCCTCTCAAGTAAATTATATCATTCCAGTCATAAAATTTATCATTAGGCTGGTCCATTTTAGTATAATAGAACAACTAAAAGAAAAGGAAGTACTTTTCCTCAAGGTTGGTTGAAGACAAAGACAACATTATATTATTATAGAGTAATTTACTCATAAAGCATTCAATTATGTTGTATAGTATACAAGACTGATTTCATAGATATACAATACCAACATGGATTTGCAGTAAGCTTTTGTAACTATTATTTACTCAAAAGTCATATCAACCTTGATAAAGTTAAAGAAATTACAAAATCCCTACAGAAATTCAATAACATACCACTTGCTAACTTGACGGAAAATATCAACCAGTTAGTTATTCTTTAAATTAGCAAATCATGTCCACCAATGAGCCCAACTTCCTTTTCTTCTCTTCAAATAATAGTGCACTTAAGCATCACTGCGTGAATCAGACTATGTCTCCCTATGCTTCCCCTCACTACAGAACCAAGCACAAGGGTGCTCAGTATACAATACTAATTGAACCTTGTTATGAATTGGAGGGAAACCTAGAACTAGAAATATTAAAGTGCTATTTCTCTAACGGTGATGAGGAGAATTGGAAATAAATATATTTCTCTTTTCTCTAGTCAAGATAACACATCTAAATGGATCCATTTGCTAGAGCAAAAAGTGGGCTTCCCGTGATACTCAGTTAATTCAGCTGCATCAGCTGCTTAATGCAGAATGGTAATAAAAAAAAAATTAAAAACAACCTGAACACACCTGCCAAACTAAATGAGGAAGCAGAAGTTCAGGACGTGGACTTCCCCGAGGCCTCTCAATGAATGCCATACGTGCATTATTTGCCATGTCATAAACTTTTACCCCTGCATCATTTGCCCAAGCAATAAGACTGGTCCTCCATTTCACTGCATGTATTGGACCTTCTCCATCATGTAATACCTGAGACAACAACATATTTATGGTTGAATTTTAGAGCAGCAAATATTAAAATTTTTCCTTGTGTCAAGTCCACCAGATACCTGTTTAGAATAACCAATGCCAGGTTTTCGAATTCAAAAAAAGTTGACCAGCTAAACCACCAGCAACATATCTTCTTGATGATTTCCGTGAATAATCTGGGTCTAGAGCTAAAGTTTTCATCGGACGATAGTACTCAAATTTCAACTTTTCATCAGTAAAAAGGCTGCTAATAACCACAGTTCCATCATCTGAGCAGCTACCAATATATTCACCATCAGCATCAAAGCTAAGGTCATTGACCATAGCAGTATGAGCAGCAAACTCTTTAACCTGTTTAAAGAGAGAGAAAAAAAAGATGTGAATATAACCTGACTTTCTTATATGCAAATAAAAATAACAATAACAGTAAAACTAAGAATTAACTCATTTTATATGCTAACCTCATGCAGAAAAATCTTATATAGAGAGCACCTACAAGCTCTCACAAAGCTTACTCTTCAAGAAATATAAAGAAAAGGCCAAAAACAAATTAGACCTAATCATACTACACAAATTAATAAACAATCTCTACTAACCGAACCACCTTGCTAATACATTTTTTTCAATTTTCGTTCAGGTAATCTTATGCTTATCTACCAAATTGGCATTTAAAATAGACCTTTTTTTACCACTTTGGCATTTAAAAACACTTTGGTGTCATTTTGGTATTTGAAGAGTGTAAATTTGGCAATTAGGTACAAAAACTTGCCGGCGATTCAATTTTTCTGGCGAGAGTTGTTGGGAAATTTTCTTCCATCCCGCTGGCCCTTAAATTTATTGTGTTTTACACTCTTTTTTCTCCTTCAACCACTCTAAACTAAAATTTCTTCTAACCCTTTACCTGATAGACCCTCTTTACCCTCTCTTTCTCTCTAGCCCCTCCCTCTCCTTTAACCTCTCCCAATTCAAACCCAAACTCTAATCCAAAATTCAAACACAAACCCTAATCCAAATATGGGGTTGATCATTTGGATTAGGGTTTGGGTTTGAATAAGCGGATGTTTAAGGGGAAGAAGGGGACTCTATTGATGAAAAAGAATGAGAGGGGAAGTAGGATTATTGGATAAAGGGGTAGAAGAAAATTGGAGGTTGAAGGAGAAGACAGGTGTAAAATACAATAGGTTTAAGAGGTCAGAGGGCTGGAAGAAATTTTTCAAATAGTTCTCGCCAGAAAAATGAACGCTAACGAGTTTTTATACCTAATTAACACACTTTAAATACCAAAAGACGCCAGAGCGTTTTGAAGTACCGTAGTAGTAAACAGCATCTGTTTTGAATACCAATTTGGTAGTTAGCCCGATGCAATGTTTCCCTTATTTTCATCTTAGGTTCCTTGGGAAGTTAAGTTTTTTTATGGTAACTATGGGGAAACCAACAGAATGGATTTTGAATGGGAATAAGGTCAAAGTCATTGATTTTATAGGCTAATCATCATCAATTTTCACTTCTTTCAGCATATTAAACCACCTAATTTTGCAACCGACCCAGATTTCCCAATTTAATTAAGAAACCTAATCCAGAGCACAACAAACTCCAATATTTCCACTAGCAGAAAAAAATATATATACATGTTAAAATCCAAAACCAAGTTAACCAAATCCTAGCCTCCAAACCCTAAATTGAACCAATTTCGACCAAAACTATACTAAAACTTAGCGTATTACATATATGGCAAACACTCCCGAAATTAAACCACCTAATTTTCCTACCAACCCGAATTTCTAATTCGCTATTAAGGAAGCCCTAATCCAAAACTTCCTCTAGCAGGAAAAAAATGTATAAATGTCAAAAATGACAAAGATGCTAAAATCCCTAAATTGAACCAAAATCACCTGATTCCCTTGAAAATCGAGTATGTGGACGGTGCCATCGTGCGTTCCGAGCGCGATCATCCGCTCCGCGATCGCGATCGAAGCAGCGGCGTCGGTCGATAGAAGAGATGGCAAACTACCTCCCATTCTCTGATAATCCTCTTCAACCTCCCTCTCCTCCTCCTCCTCCTCCTCCTCCTCTTCCTCCTCCTCCTCCTCATCCTCTTCAACCTCCCCCGCGAAGTCAGCTCCCGCGAAGTCAGCTCCTCGCCACCGGCGAAGACCATCAGTCCCTCGGTTAGGAGCAAGAAATTATGAATTCGTTATTATATTCACGAAAAAAGCGTAAACTTCAAGTCCCACAATCCAAAAAATATGCATGTGCCCAGTTTTTTTAACAAAAATGTCTTGAGAATTGATATACAGAAACCAATAACCAAATCAACCTGTTTGTACTAGGCAAATTCAAAATTCAATGTCTTCAGAGCAAACTTTATGTGTACTGCCATCACGAACTTGTTCAACAATGGCTTTCATTGGTTTCCCCCTGTTTGCATTTAAGAAGGCTTGTGCATCAAAATTATTAGGGTCACCGATGGCTGAAGGGGGAAGGTCTCTTATAGATTCATCAGTTTCCTGCATTGATTTTTAATGCCAAAACCGAGGGACTGATGGTCTTCGCCGGCGGCGAGGAGCTGACTTCGCGGGGGAGGTTGAAGAGGATGAGGAGGAGGAAGAAGAGGATGAGGAGGAGGAGGAAGAGGGGGAGGTTGAAGAGGACGAGGAGGAGGGAGGGGGGTAGAAGCAGGAAATTATATTTCATGAGGGGTTTTTTTGCAAAAAAATCAATCAGCCCTGGCCGGAACAGTAACTCTGGCCAAATTTAAGGTCTATATGGCGCCGGAGTTGAAAATTTATACCAATCTGACAAAACTAAAAGAAAATATACCAACATGTCACCAAGCCTCTAAAAAATATACCAATCTGGCCATTTTGCCCTTTCCATTTTGTGTCATAAATACTCTAGTTTACATTATACTATCCAAACAATGTAATACTATTATTTTAGGATTCACAAAGATTCCTAACCAAACAATGTAAACACTCGAATGGAAAGTGGTGAGGTGGATAACCACTTTCTATTTTGTGTCATAAATACTCTAATTTACTAAAGACATCCAAACAGCCCTAAGTGTTCACAAAAAATAAACAATTTCCTAAAACTTAAAAATATCCATAGGTAGAAGAAGCTAATGCCATCTTTTTTCTTTATCCTCCAACAAAAATACCTGACAACCCATCAGTACCCACACCAGCAAACAGGTATATCTTCCAAATAAAATATTGTCTGCAACAACCCAAAAAGATAAGAGGTGTTATCAACAACTTTCCAAATAAAATAACCCCGCCAACAAATCCTTCTCTATTGTTATTCCATAAACTTTCTTAAAATAACCCAAAAAATCCAACCCACCTCATAAAATTCCCTACAAAAACAGAAAAATCACAACCCATCAAAATCAAAAGAAAACCACACGGCACCAACGGCCCTCTTTCTTCCTCCTCTTGAAAGCCCCATTTCACCGGAAACCCCCTCACCATCTATGGGTTTTCTTTTAAGCCCCCTCCCACCATGAAGCTCAAGCTCAGACAACGCATAACCCGAATGAAGTCCTTCCGCAAAAAACCCCTTCAACAATCTTCTCTCTGCAGAAAACACTACTGTCTCCTCCTCTGGCTCTCACTCTCTCTCTACCTATTCTTCCCGCCTTCATCCTTGCTCAGACCAACCCCATCCCTTGATAAAACCACTCTCTCTCTAAAGCCCGCTTTCAGATCCTCAGCCCTCGTAGAGCGAAGCCCGAGGTCCAAGCTCCCCTCGGTCAGAGTCTACGTCTACGACCTCCCCTCGAGCTACAACAGGGACTGGCTCTCGGACCCCAGGTGCGGGTCCCACTTGTTCGCCGCTGAGGTGGCGATCCACGAAGCCCTGCTTACTTCCGGGTTCAGGACGACGAGCCCAGACGAAGCTGATTTCTTCTTTGTTCCCGTTTACGTCTCCTGCAACTTCTCTACCGTCAACGGGTTCCCTTCTTTGGCCCACGCTCGCCCTTTAATCGCCTCTTCGATTGCTGAAATCAAAACCAAGTATCCGTTTTGGAACCGGACCGACGGCCGAGACCACATGTTTGTGGCCTCCCATGATTACGGCGCTTGCTTTCATGCGATGGTGTGCGGTGCTTTTATGATTTTACATGAAAATTTTGAAATTTTTAGAGCGAGAGTTTGTAAAGTTTGGATTTTTTTTTTGGTTTTGTTTTGTTTTTGAATGCAGGAGGACGTGGCTATCGCCGACGGAATTCCTGAGTTTTTGCGGCGATCGATTCTGCTGCAGACGTTCGGGGTGACCTCGCCGCACGTGTGCCAGGAAGCGGAGCACGTGCTGATACCGCCGTACATACCGCCGGAGTTTCTCCGATCTCCGCCGCCGGAGACGGCGAGGAGGGACATTTTCGTCTTTTTCCGGGGGAAGATGGAGGTTCATCCCAAAAACATCAGCGGACGTTTCTACAGCAAGTAATAATTAACGAGTCGATCCTTGATTAATGAACTAGTCCATGTAAATTTTCATAAAAGCCCTTCCTAATTTAAGTTTGTCACGTAGGAAGGTGAGGACGGAGATCTGGAACCGATACAGCAACGACCGGAGGTTTTATCTGAGGCGGAAACGGTACGACGGGTACCGGTCGGAAATATCGCGATCGGTGTTTTGCTTGTGCCCCCTCGGGTGGGCCCCATGGAGCCCGCGACTGGTAGAGTCGGTCGCCCTCGGCTGCGTGCCGGTCATCATCGCCGACGGAATCCGTTTGTTGGCCGTCGATTTCGTTAACGGTGCCGGAGAGGGACGTCGGGAGGCTGGCAGCAGTCCTTGAGCACGTGGCGCAGAGCAATCTTACCGCGATACAGCGGAATCTGTGGGACCCCGCGGTTAGAAGGGCGCTGATTTTTGGCCGTCGGATTGAGGAGGGAGATGCCACGTGGCAGGTGATGAAGGCATTGGAGGCGAAACTCGGTCGGAGTCGGAGGAACAAGGGAGCTAACCAATTAGATGCTGACACGCGGGAGGAGTGAATATCTGGGTGTCAGCCGTCATTGTTGAGTGTTGTTGTCCACGTGGCAGCATGTGATTGGTGGATATTTAGGGTGGGATGCATTGTGTCTTGAACAGAGCGACGACAAACGGCAACGCGGTGTGGATAGATTTGAGGATTTTATGCATTTTTTAAATAATTTTTTTATAGGTAGAAACAATAATAATACGATGAATAAACAATAGAAGAAGGAGAATTTATACAGAGGCCCAACTTGAGTTTTGAATTGCCACAATGATAAGGGTAAGTTCCAACAAACCCCCCCTTACATTTGGGTGTTTCTCAGAGAGCTCCCTAACTTTTAAAATGCCACGAACATCCCCTATGTTTTGGGTTTCTCAAAAACTCTCATTGGACTTGTAGAAGCGTGAACCAAAACTTTCACTTTATGTAATTTTACTCACCCATGCGACCATTGCAGCTATCGCCGTTATCATGGACTTTTGAAGAATGTCAAAAGTTGAAGAGGTTTTTATGAGAATCTAAATTTTTTGGGGTGATAGTTGTAATTTTTTTACCCGAGCTTTCCACTTGTGCGGCTGTTGCAATTTTTTGAGGGAAAATTTACTAAACAGTCCGTTTTTGCTAATTATTTAGCAAAATAGACCGTTTTGCTAAATAATTAGCAAAATAGACCTCTTTTGGGCCAACAGGCCAAAAAGAGGTCTATTTTGCAAAACAACTCAGAAAACATACGGGACTAGTAGTCCCGTATGTTTTAATCACAGATTAGTGAACGCAGAAAATTTCACAAAACATTAAGATGAACTCAGAAAACATACGGGACTACTACTCCCGTATGTTTTCTGAGTCACTAATCCGTGATTAAGTTGGCTCTAAACATACGGGACTAGTAGTTCCGTATATTTTTTGAGTCTTGTTTTTTAAAATCGACCTCTTTTTTTTAAAAGAGATCTATTTTGCTAATTATTTAGCAAAACGATCTATTTTGCTAAATAATTAGCAAAAACAGACTATTTTGCAAATTTTCCCATTTTTTGATGGCGCCGTTAATGACCAGTTATCTGTTAGAGAACTGTAGCGTAAATAAATGGATCGGCAGCGTTTTCCATGGGGCGTTCGTTTTTAGCGGATATAACTGAATACTTCTGATTTTTTTTAATTTAAAGCTTTTGGAGAGAAGAAAGAAAGTGGATTCATGCGCCTTATATTGCCAAAGGTCTTTTTTTTTTAATTTTCACGTGTGACATATTCAATATATAACGAGGATATTGTGATAACATTTCAGTTCGAACAAATGTTACGAGATAAAGATGACAATCTAAATCTTTGCTAGTAGGTCTCGATTGCAACACTCTTTAAGATAAGGTTTGTTCTGCTTTTGACACGTTTGTCTCTCTCTCAAAAGGGAGCCAGATTTGATCCTGGTTTGAGAAGAAAATATTGTTTGGAAAAAAAAACTCGATCAGAATCGGTCTTGTTTCTTCTAGACTAAAAGGCTCAAGAGGTGGTTATTTTTTTTTTAATTATTATTATTGATTCCGTCCTGAGATCAAAAGAGAACAAGTTCTTCTCAAATCTTGGTTAGGATCAGTCTCAACCCATTTTCGAGACAGTTACCAAATTGACCCTAACAGAATGAGAAGGACATGCATTGCTAATGATACAATACTAGTTTCACGCCCGTGCGATGCACGGATTTGTTTAATATACAAAAATTGATGTAGCAAAAGAATACAAACAGTTCAAACAGTTTACGAAGCGTTCAAACAGTTTACGAAGCATCTTGTTTGGAAAATTGAAAAGGCAGGGAGAGTTGGTTCAAATCTCAAGGAGAACTTTTTATTTTTTATTTTTTATTTCAAATTTAATATGGAGAATTTTTGTAGAAACTTGACAAGTGGCACTTGCAAGAAGATAGCAATTGATATGTTTGCCAAGTGTTGTTTAAAATGGTATGGGCCATTTTTGCCAAGTGGCATTTTTGCCAAGTGGCGAATTGAAGGGTAACAACTTTTAGTAATAGTATATAGATTGTTTGTAGAATAATTACCTAAATAAGTAATTAAAATATTAAAAAAATAAAATCAAAGTCACAAATATGGTTGTTGGTGATGAGTGCCCATCTGATTATGTATATGGGCCATCCACCAATTTGTCGCGGCCAACAGAAGCAATAACAATAGAAATAATGTTAGGGGCACACCCCCTAACACACCACCAACCACAACTCCCCTCCCATCGCTACAGTAAACCGGGTCCCACATGGGATTTAAAAAATTTTAAAATCCCATGTGGGGCCCGGTTTACTGTAGCGATAGGAGAGGGGGGGGGGGGGGGTGTGGTTGGTGGTGTGATAGGGGGTGTGCCCCTAACACCACTCCATAAATTTCATCAATCAGATTCAAAGCGCAACAAAATATGACGACTATCGCTGTAGTCCAGAAACTCGCATCTAGATTCAGTTAATCATAGCCCAAGTATGTCATGATAACAGATACAGGGAGACAGCATTTGCAAATAAAATAAGTAAATAATTGCAAATGTCACTTCAACTATTTTCTACAATTGTAGTAACTTCTGTGTCAAGTTTTTATCCTTTTGAAACCCTAAAAGGTTCAGAATCACTTTGCCCAGCTTTGATGCTCACATGATTCCCTGAAAATGAGTAGTAGCCCATGGACTGCCTTTGATCTCAAAAGCTTCCCTCTGTCAATAATATTCTAGAGCTTTCCGTATCACTTTATGAATAGTATCACAATCTAAAGGAAAAAAAAATATGCAATACATATGGTTCATAGCTTTAATGGTGCACCAAAAATATATTGACCCTTGGTCAGTGCATAGATAGGTGATAATGTGATATTCATATTCCGATGATTGACGGGTTAATAGCACTTTGGTGCATCATAAGTGTTATGAATCAGATATACTTGATATGTTTTCCACAATAATCGTGCCTGCAGACCAAAATTGAGCTGCGAGGTTTGATCCAAAGAAAATTGCTCAACTATTTGTGCTGCCGGAAAGGACTCAATCGTGCCTGCAGACTAAAATCTTAAACAAGAGCAAGGACAATCATATTACTACTCGTTGTCATCCACATAACAATAGTACTAGGCTGCGTTTGGGAACTTGGATTTGAATTTGAAATGTTGATTTAAAATCAAAGGATTTGAAATCTAGGATTTGAAATCCATGATTTGATAGAATCTTTTGTTTGGATGTCTTTCCAAAATAGAAGGATTTGAAATCAAAGATTTGAAATATAGTGTTTGGATACACTTTATTATACATGAACTTGGATTTCAGAATTGGTGTTTTAAGGTTTATGTTAAGGTAAAAGTAATGATAAATTTCACAAAGCCCCGAAGTTTGACAAAATATCTTCAAATTTTCCAGTAACTTATTTTTTAACAAATTTTTAGCAATGATATCCAAAACCATTATTATCTTCAAATCATCACCATTTAATTTCATAACAAAAGGAAAACAATGCTACCATCAGCTGGATCACAGAATATCAATTCCAATATATGTACGTCACAGGAAAACAAAAACTTTCAATACAAATATGGATCCATATTTAAAAAACTCTCTTTTCTTTTCAATAACAAATAAAATGAAACTACTACTCCTCACTGACACCTGAAGAAAAATCTGGATATTACACAATGGCATTGGCTGCACTAGCAATCGTAGGCCACAAATCAGCACACTCCTTTCCAATTGGTCCAGTAATTGCAGATATTTTGGTTCTGACCTATACTCATTTCCACGTGTAGTTCCCCCTAGTCTCAAGGAGTGGAAAGATCCGAAAACTGATATCAGACTCAAGCATAGACTCAAAACCTACTAGAATCACAATCCAGAATATGCCAGGAGGACCCGAATCCTTCGAACTTGCCGCGAAGTTCTGCTACGGCCTCAACATCGACCTCATCATTTCCAACGCCGCAACACTTCGCTGTGCAGCCCATCACCTCCAAATGACCGAAGAAATTTCGGACAGAAACTTAAGAGTCTCAGTCTGAATCCTATCTCAAAGAGACAGTCTTTACCAGCATCACGAACTCCATCTCGGTCCTCCATTGTTGTCAATCTCTGCTTCCAGTAGCCGAAGATATCGATTTGCTTACTAGAATTGTATCTGCAATTGTCAGCAATGTGTGTAAAGAACAGTTGACTTCAGGTTTATCGAAGCTCGACCATAACAAGACAACTCTTGTTGTGAAACCTCATGACTGTGGGAAAAGTCGATAGGGATTCTAGGCCTGAGTTTTTCCAACGTGTTGTTTCTTCCCTGAGAACAAAGGGTTGTAAGCAAGAAACAAATAGAGAAGCTTCCAATGAGAATCTAACTTGGGCATCAATAATTTGAAACTATATGGAAGATAAAAATAAACAATATGCACTATATAAAATGATGCATATGTACGCATCAAACAACAATAACAAAACTAAGTAATCCACATACTCATCTTTCGACCTGCTTCTGCTTCTTAGCGTCATCCTTCATGTGCATCACTTTTGGATAGATCTCCCCCACAAAAAGAACTGCAACCTCCATCAAATAGAATGCTAAGCATTTTCTTAGATGCTCTTACAACAGAAAAAACAAACAGAGGACTTCTATTCAACTAGAATTTTCATGCTGAAAGGATAAACAACATACAATAGAAACAAGAAAATATTGGTACAGAGAATCTATGACTTATCATTCTACTATATGCCCATGTGGTAAGCTCATCATAAACCATGCTTTTAATTAAGCTTCCAAATTTAAGTTAAATGATTGGTGGTATATGGATTAATAAAAGTGAGTTGAATATAAAATGCAACCATGGTCATGCTCATTCTTCCACTTGAGCAATTGTCAACGGATAAAAAGCCTGTTAACTTACATGAGGGAATGTTCTCTGTTACAAGACAAAATTTTGTCAAACATAATTGCTGAGTTTCTGTTATAAAAAAAATCCACGCACCAAATTAAAGGTTTAGAGGAGTCAACAAATATATACAGTTCATGGAAGATAATGAGGGAATGTTCTCTGTTACAAGACAAAATTTTGTCAAACATAATTGCTGAGTTTCTGTTATAAAAAAAAATCCACGCACCAAATTAAAGGTTTAGAGGAGTCAACAAATATATACAGTCCATGGAAGATAAACTTTGCAGTTTTATCATCGACTTAACGATTAACTTTGTAGTTTCATTCATCGATTAATTCTTCAGGCCTGGCTGGGGACCTGCAATGAAGTTCCAGTTAAAAAAATAAAAAGTTCATCGATGTAACATTTGAAATTTCATTTTTTATTTCCCCTTCCCATGTGAGGAAAGACATGTAGGATTTCATGTAACTATGGAATTGAAATTTCATTTTTTATTTCCCCTTCCCATGTGAGGAAAGACATGTAGGATTTCATGTAACTATGGAATTTGGGTTTATTTCTAATAGGTCCTAGATGAACTGTTTTAAGAAAATATGATTTTGCACAACGAGAGAGTTCGAAATATTCAAGCTGTTTGAGTTCTCTTAGAATGTACTACTATATATGCCTTGTGCTAAGCTCAATTTAAGCCATGGTTTTAGTATGGAATGTCACAAATTAAGTAGGGGTTGCACAGAATGTGCTAAGCTCAATTTAAGCCATGGTTTTAGTATGGAATGTCACAAATTAAGTAGGGGTTGCACAGAACATGGCTTATTATAGGTAGGTAATTAAAGTTGATTGGCTACAAACTGCAACCATGGTCATCCTTCTGTAATTTTAAGCCCTCGCCAACACGGTTTAAGCTCTGTCACAAGAAGAAGAATTAGTCAAATATAGTTGTTCAGTTGTTTAAATTTGTTCGTTTCTCACCAAATTAGTGGACTAGAGGACTCAACTTGTGAATTTCAATTGGACTTAAAAAAAGATGTACTTGGTTCTTCAATTATATAGTAAGCACTACGTTAGCTGTAATAAGAGGTATAATTCTGTACACTGAAAATTTCAGTTATTAAAGCTGTTCAATTTTCTAAGATGATGCGAGTGTAGATATTAACACTTTCAAGTTTCAATAGAGATGCTAAGCTTAGATTGATACGTATCTCAAATATACGTAGAGAAGAACGCATTCGTAAAAATTGGAAGATTAGAGAGAAGAACGCATTCGTAAAAAAAAAATTTAGCGAACTCACGTGAGCGCAGCCGTGTCCATCAAAAACACCGAAAAAATGAAGCTTTCCGTCGACTCCAGAGCTTCTCTTTGCAAAATCCGGCCGTCTTCCTAGAAACTTCATGGTAGATATTTTGTAGGATGTTACTAGAAAGAAGTTCTAGAAAGTTGTTCTAGAATAATCTAAGTTGGTGAGGAATTCTAATACTCCCCCTCATCACCAACTTTCATTTCTCACAAGTCCAAGCTTCTTCTTAAGCTTCAAAAATGTCTCTGTCTTTAGTGGCTTGGTGAAGATGTCAGCGATTTGGTCTTCAGACTTGCAATATGACAGCATCACAGTCTTCTTTTTAACTTGATGTCGGATGAAATGATATCTTGTCTCTATGTGTTTGCTTCGTCCATGTGCTACCGGATTTTTGGCAAGTGCAATAGCTGACTTGTTGTCGATGAGAATCTCTGTCGGTGCTTCTTGTTGGTGTTGCAATTCCTTCATCAGACTCCTGAGCCATATTGCTTGACACGCACATGTCGATGCTGCTATGTATTCTGCTTCGCAACTTGATAGAGCGACGACAGACTGCTTCTTTGATGACCATGAGAATGTTGCTGATCCGATATTGAACATGTAGCCAGATGTGCTCTTTCTTTCATCTAAATCTCCACCATAATCGCTGTCGGTGTAGCCGACTAATCTTGAATCTGCACACTGTGTATAAAATAATCCTTGATCAATACTTCCTCGGACATACCTAAGAATTCTCTTGGCTGCTTTGAAATGCTCCTGTCTTGGCTCCTCCATATATCTGCTCACCAGTCCTACCGCGAACACTATGTCGGGCCTGGTGATGGTTAGGTAGCGCAAGCTCCCGACTAAACTCTTGTATAGAGTTGGATCAATATAGCTTCCTGGTGTGTCTCGCCTCAGCTTCACTCCGACTTCTGCAGGAGTTGCGACTGGATTGCAGTTGCTCATGTTGAACTTCTGAAGGATATCCTTTGCATACTTCTTCTGAGAGATGAAGATTCCTTTCTCTGATTGCGACACTTCTACTCCAAGAAAGTATGACATTTCTCCAATGTCAGTCATCTCGAACTCCTTGATCATATTCTTTTTGAACTCCTCGAACATTTTCGGATTGTTGCCGGTGAAGATCATGTCGTCCACGTAGAGACATACGATCATGATGTCTTCATCCTTCTTCTTGGTATAGAGAGAGTGCTCATACGGGCTCCGATGGAATCCGTTCTTCTGGAAGTATGCATCGATTCTGGCATTCCATGCTCTGGGCGCTTGCTTCAGTCCATACAATGCCTTCTTCAGCTTGTAGACTTTGTCTTCTTGATTCTTCACCTCGTACCCTGGTGGTTGCTTGATGTAGACTTCTTCTTCTAAGTAGCCGTTCAGGAATGCAGACTTCACGTCCATCTGGTAGATCTTCCACCGGTTCTGTGCTGCCAATGCGATAATGAGTCGGATGGTGTCGATCCTCGCGACTGGTGCGAACACTTCTTCATAGTCAACTCCTTCTCGCTGACTATAGCCTTTTGCAACAAGCCTGGCCTTGTACTTCTCGATTCCGCCATCTTGATTTGTCTTTGTCTTGTACACCCACTTTACTCCGATTGGTTTATGGCCTTCAGGTAAGGTAGTGAGCTCCCATGTGTCATTTCTCTTGATTGCCTCGATCTCGTCATCCATGGCTTTTCTCCACTTATCTTCTTGAGCAGCTTCTTCATAGCTGACCGGATCACATTCTGCAAACAAGCAGAATAGTGTGTAGTCATCCATCATCTCGACAGGCTCTGTATCGTCGTACAGATCTCTTAGGCTTCTCATCCTCCTTGTTGCTCCCCCTGAAGAGCTTCCTTCACTTGAGCTGGATGATGTCGGCGTTGATGTTGGGGTTGATGGAGCTGGACTATTAGGTGGACTTTGTTCTGGTCTTCCAACCTCCTGCAAGTCATCATCATTATCTTCAAAGAACATACCTTTAATATTTTTATCTTCATCGGTCCATTTCCAATAATCTTCTTCATCGAACTCCACGTCTCTTGAAATGATCATCTTCTTTGTAACTGGATTGTAGAGCTTGTATGCTTTTGTCCTCCTCTCGTACCCAACGAATATGCACTTTTCTCCTCGATCGTCCAACTTCTTTCTTTTCTGCTCCGGGATGTGTGCATATGCAATACACCCAAACACCTTCAGGTGGTTGACACTTGGCTTGATGTTGCTCCACATCTCCAATGGTGTCTTGAACTTGACGCTCTTTGTCGGACATCTGTTGAGGAGGTAAACTGCACAGTCCACGGCTTCAGCCCAGTAAGTCTTTGGCAGGTACTTGCTCTTCAACATGCTTCTGACCATATCAAGAATGGTACGATTCTTCCGCTCTGCTATGCCATTCTGCTGTGGTGTGTAGGCGGCAGTGAGTTGATGAATTATCCCGTACTGCTTGTTGAAATTGTTGAATGCCTTCGAAGTGTATTCTCCACCTCGATCTGATCGGAGCACTTTGATGTGGTACCCACTTTGCTTTTCTACCATCTCCTTGAATTCTTTGAATTTCTCCAGAGCTTCGGATTTCTCCTTCAGGAAATAAACCCAAGTTTTTCTGCTATAATCATCAATAAATGTGAGAAAATACCTGTTTCCTCCAAGAGAGATGACTTCAAATGGTCCTGCAATATCTGTGTGGACCAATTGTAGCAACTCTGTTGCTCTTCTTGACTTTCCAACTTCGAAACTTCTTCTATGTTGTTTGCCCTTCATACAGCCTTCACATAGCTGGTTCGGATGGTTGATTTGCGGCAATCCTTTTACCATTTTCTCCTTCCATAGAAGATTCAGGCCACTGAAAGCGAGATGCCCGAATCGTAGATGCCAGAGCCAAGTCTCGTCTTTTATGATTGACTTCAAGCACTTGACAGGGTCAGCATGAATATTTAAGGTAAACAGTCTATTTCTAGACATGTTCACCTTTGCAATAACTTCATTTTTATTTTTAATAGTGAGGGCAAGGTCTTTTAGATGTATATCATAGCCTCTTTCAAGGAGCTGGCCTAGGCTCAAAATATTATTTCGTAATGCTGGAACATAGTAGACATCAGAGATGTACCTGTTCTCGCCCGTCTTTGTCTGGATCATTATATTTCCCTTGCCTTTTACTGGAATCTTTGACTGATCTCCAAAAGTGACATCTCCTTGTACCATCTCGTTCAGCTCGGTAAAGAACTCCTTGATGCCGCACATGTGGTTACTGGCACCTGAATCTAGATACCAGATATCTTTATTCTTGCTTTCGCTCTCCTGGTACGTCAACAGGACTGTTGAAGTGTCTGCCTGCTCCCTTTCTACAAAGTTGCTTCTTTCTGCCACTTGATTTGATTTCTCCCAACATTCGTAGCTGAGATGACCGTATCTCTTACATTTGTAACACTGTGGCTGAGATCTGTCCTCATGGTAACTTCTTCCTTGTCCTCGTCCTCGTGTGCCACGACCTCGTCCTCGATCGAATGATCGTTCACGATCTCTATTTCGATCTTGATTTTCATGGCCTCCTTGGTACTGTCTCCTACGACCTTGCTGGAAGTTTGAGCCACCTCGAAATGAGCCTCTGCCTCTGTAGCCTCCACGTCCTCTTCGACTATCTTCTTTGATAGTCATCTTACTCTGCAAGGCTTGTTCTAGATTCTCCGCTTGATTTGAACTAATGTTTATATCTTGTTCATAAGCTTGCAGAGAACCTTGCAGCTCATCAATAGATACTTCGGAAAGATCTTTAGACTCTTGTATTGCCGGAATAATATATTTGAATTTAGAGTCTAAAGTCCTAAGTATCTTCTCCATAATTCTTACATCATTAATTGCTTCTCCATTTCTCTTCATTTGATTAGTTATTGTCTGAACTCTACTAAAATAGTCTGATATTGATTCTGTAGCTTTCATCTTCAAATTTTCAAATTCAACTCTTAATGCTTGGAGGCGTACCTTTTTGGCTCTTTCCGCACCTTGATAGGATTTTTGTAAAATCTCCCATGCTTCTTTAGAGGACAGGGCATTGGAAATCTTCTCAAACGCAGATTCATCTACGCCTTGGAATATTAGGAACAAAGCTTTTTTGTCTCTTTTTCTGACCTCCTTCAACTCACTCTTCTGAGTGGCGGTGAGAGTTGCTTCTGCTGCAGGT